ATGCTGAGGTTTGATGGCAGCCTGCCACTTGCCTCTATCCTGTGGGTTGACATTATGTAGGTTCAAGTGGTGGAAGTCCTGCCTTATGTTGTCAAACCACTTTTTCCTTTGTCGACCACCAGGGTACCACTATGTACAAAATTTGGCATAATTTGACAAATAGCCCAAATCTTTTGATTACTTAAAGCTCCGTATCTTTCTTCTTAATACTACTGGAAGAGTAGATAAGGTACTTAAGTCTAAACTTTACAACCCTGTCCTACTACCGTTATAATGTCTTTATCCCTAATGTAGGTCGAAGTAACCACGTTAAGTACACTATCATGGCTTTGCTTGCTTCCGACCTCAGAGATTATGTCCCCAGAAATCGGATGTTAGTTTTACGACGTAGGATATTCTCCCATGTGATACCAGTAATTTTAGGGTTGGAATGAGTTTTCTGCGGTGAATACAAGATTAAAAAATCCATTAGTACCTGACAGGTGAATTTTACGGAAACTTTTTATGTATGATGGTTGTGCATGGCTGAAAGAAACATGAATTTGAAGACTTATATGCCAGGTTAAGTCAAGTAAGTTAAGCTCTTCTTTCTCCTCTTTTTACAAATTTTAAGGACATTCATTGTACACTATTGCTAGTGGATGAAATAATGATTGTGGTACAAGTACTAAATAAATAAATTGCACTGCCAACCATCAGGTTAGCCTCAGGAAGGTGCAGGGCTCTTTGAATAGGGTACATTTCTTTGTGCACATCTAAAACAGAAACTGCTTAATATACAGAATATGATCTTACTCAAGACAATCTTCTAATTATGACCTTTTGTGTGCTAACTAAATTTTGGTGAATTCATAGCTCTTGCAGCAGGAATTTGTAATTCTAAGTCTTTGTAATTCAAATCTTTGTATGTAGGCTGAAGTAAAGTGCATATTAAGTCCCTGTTCTCGTTTTTTCCCTGGCATATACATGTATATGCATTACACATAGAGTGTGACCCATACATTGCTATATAATAACTCCATGTATGGACCAGTCGTAGATTTCAAGCCAGATTTGTGCGGCTTACCATCATGCTCTCCTGCTCTTCAATAACAGGCTTAACAGCATGAAACTAGTTCTTGGTGGAAAGCAATAACATGACATACACAGGGTAAATTTGATTTTACCAGCAGAGCAAGTCTGATAGAATTGATGTAGAGGTGTGAAAGTCACCTTCCAAGTAAACTCCCCAGGTAGTTATAGAGTCGTGTGGAGGGTCTCCTAAGGTAAAGAGAACTGCTATACACAGTTACGATGGTTTGATAAGGCTATGCTAAGGTTAGGTAAGGCCAGCACATTGGCAGAACGTACTTCACCTGCACAAACTCTGATTTTTCACAGTTTTTGTTGGATGCTTGGACAACGTTGCATCAGAATTTTGCCTGCTGCAGACAATATCTTTTCCGACATAACATTTGGTAACTATAGACAGGATGTTAACCTTATATGCAGGAATATGACCTTATATCAGACGTTCTGCTGAAGTGCTATGCACAATACACGCACTGGTGCACTAGGGTTTGGGTTGGCGTTAGAAAGGGCATCCAGCCATTAAAAAATCTTGCTTAATAAAAAAAGACTTGCACTTGATGCAAACATGTCTAACCCCCAGTTTTGGGGGGAAAAGACATTAAACTGAATAGAAAGAGAGAGTGGTTGCACTGGTGTAGACCATTAGTATCTCTTGTAAACTTGATCCTCATGTTATCATGATAACAGAAGAGTAACCATCCTTTCAGCACCAAGGACAAAACTTCTTATTCTTCCATTATGTATATTTTTACCAATCTGCATCACCAAATTGTTATACCGCTACATGCAAAAGAGTTTGAATTACTGTGATATAAAGATATTATAATAGATAAAGAAACATATCAACAAAGAACTACCAGAGTGGTTGCATTGGTATAGACCATTAGTTTTTCTGTAAACTTGAAACAACCTTCGCCACATATCATAAGGTCATGGTCCTCGAAACAACGTGGAGCTTCGGCGGGTTTATGGTTATGTCCGAGCATGTTTAGATCCTCATGTTATCACCCGTATCCTAGGAAACCGCACCCCTGGATGGATGAGGTAATTTTCTCGGGATAGTCTCGGCCTAAGCCGGCCAATCCCGGGGGATGTAACAGGGATGTGATACAAGGCTTATTCCTTCAGAGGCGATAAAATGACCGCGAGCGAAGAACTTTTCCACCCGTCTATTTCGTGCTGCATCATAGAAGCATATTTCACACCACATCTATCTGCCTGCAGTGTTTTTTGATATCATTTTATGTTCTGCTGATTCTTGTGGTACATGAAGTATGGTGTAGACTGAGAGCTCAAGGTGTATTTCGTGAAGCGAAAAAAATGAGTTGACGTTACTTGATTTCCAGTTTAAAAATTTCAGTCCAGTCATATGATGCCTTTGTTGATATTATGATGATTATTATCATAATGATATCTTTGATATATCACCGTAATTCAAAATTCTCTTGCATATAGGAGTGTAACATTTTGGTGATGCAGATAGTATTGTATTTTAGTATTGGGTGGGCCAGCTACTCTATCTTTGCAGCCAAAGCTAGGTACTCATTTACACCTGAGTGAAGTGAGGAAAGTTATGTAAAGTGCCTTTCCCAAGGGCACAAGATCGGTGGCATCGGGCAGGATTCAAACTCGGGACCTCTTGGGTCTGAGCCAAACACACAACCGTTATGCTCCACGACCCCACAATATGCATGATGGAAGAAGAATAAGTTTTGTCCTTGGTGCTGAAATCATGGTTACTGTAGTGTTATTGCTATCAGCACAATCATTGCCTTTTGATTTGATTTGATTCGATTTATTAGGCTGATAATACATATGTATGCAGCCAGGACTGGCCAACTAGCCGGAGGCTATTATAAAGGGCTAGCCCTCACGACAAGAACATAAACAATTCGGAACAGTTAACAGTGTCAGTTACAATTCAGATAGCCTTTTTCAGCCCTCCATCTTTGCATGCATATTCTCCCTGTATAACCTTAGCCCATTTTTACAAGAAAGACATTACTCAAGTGTCTTAAATATGTAGCTATATTTCACAAAAAGTGAATCCCTATCAAAATACTAACTCTTTCTCACTCTTGCTCTCAGACTGATGCTCGATAAAAATTAAGTTTTGAGTAGACTTAGTGAGGGGCAATAGCTTTAGCCTACATAAAGTATTTTAACAATCTACACAGAAGAGAATGAGAATGATGTAAGTACAAATACGTAGTATGTGTGATCAACTGAAATCACTAAAATCCATCTCTGTTTTTGTCCCTCTAGTCTGGAGAGTTCACGGTGCCGAGTGACATGGGACAGCTGATTGAGGATGAGGACCAGAAGAGAGAGCAGAGCAACATCCCGCAGGCTTCCTTCAACTTCATCAACTCTATCATCGGCTCAGGCATTATAGGTCAGTACAAGTGTTTGTTTGTTTGTTTGTTTGTTTGTTTGTTGTAAGAGGACCAGAAAAGAGAGCAGAGCAACATCCCGCAGGCTTCCTTCAACTTCATCAACTCTATCATCGGCTCAGGCATTATAGGTCAGTAAAACTCCTGCTAGAAAAGGAGGATTGAGGACATTACCAGCAAGATAGGAAGATAGTTTTGTAACACGCCACCCCAGCTCTGTTCTTAACTGTTAGGCTTATACTTTAGGCTAAAGAAACAGACTGTTTAACCACTGAATACTGTGTTTCTGTGCACAGTTTATTCAGATACTGTATCAACAACAAAGAGTAGTCAAAGGATTTACATCTAGAAGTTAACAGTTACAATTACAGGACATTGCGCTGTGTTACAAAGACACACATGTATAAGATTTACCTCATAGACAACAGCACTGATGCTTCTCTCATGGATGAACGGACTACAACCTTAGACAGCAACTACAACAACTCTAACCAAAGGAAAAAACCAAGAAGGCCAAGTCAAGACAACTTTGTTGAAAAGAGTTTTAAAGAAATTTTGATTAAACTTCTTTAGAAAACAACAACAGTGGTACTTGATATGTTGCCTAATGTTTTGGTATCTCTCTTTAGGGATGCCCTATGCCCTGAAGCAGGCAGGGTTCCCTATGGGGGTTTTGCTGATCCTGATTGTGGCCTTGATAACAGGTGGGTTATACAAATGTATGATTGTGAGTTTTCTGTCAGTAAAGGTCTTTAATATAACATATTACATTCAACATCATTTTGTATATCTGTATAAGATCTGTATGATGTGTGTATGAGCCCTGGAAGATTGACCTTTTGGACTAAAGGGCATCAAAATAAAGGAAATATCTCAATGACATTATATTATTCATATTTTTATGGATGTGTAACTACTATTATCTTCTGGCTTCTTCCTGCACAGACTATTCAGTGATTCTGCTCATACGTGGAGGAAACTTATCAGGCACAAAAAATTATCAGGTAGGTTGAATCACAATGATATGATATGATATGATATGATATGATATGATATAATGTGATGATAGTACTGTAACAGTTATAGCATTGATAGAAAGGTTTTTATAGTATTTAACGTTACACTTAATACTGTGGTTTGAACATTTTCTTCCTCCATCATACATGTAATTGAACCAAAATTATTGAATGACTACAAAATATCAAGAACATTTTATAGTAAAACGTTAAACTTTATTCCAACACACCGTTTACAGAGATCAAATTTTTAGCGACCACTGTCGCCTTCATCAGGATAATTAATGACCAATCACTTCACAACGTGATTACTACCAACACAGATGAACTTTCATGATATCAAGAACATTTTGTTGACTCCTGACGTGCCCTACAGGACCTGGTTCGAGCTGCGTTCGGTTTCCCCGGGTTCGTCTTCCTGTCCATCGTCCAGTTTGTCTACCCCTTCATCGGTAAGTGCGTGGGAGGGAAAACGTTGACATGATTGACCCTCTGTGAGGCTGTAATCTCGTGTTAATTGTCTCCTTCCTTCAGGGCACAGCTCTACAGACGGCTGGCTTAGATTGCCTGTTCTCATGTATCTGATAATCTGTGTAGTCCAGACGCTCTATTGCACAGAGCCATATGCACGCAAATCCTGCAGTTTTGGCTTTTAATCAAGCATTATGGAGCTCACGGTATGACTGAAAAATAAGACCATATGTGAAGTACATTAACCCTAAGCTTGTCCTGCTAGCATTTTTTTACACAATATTTTCAAATAATTTCATTTCTTAATCAGGTCATAGATCCCTTACTTTTTTGGCCCTGTGATGGCATAGTCATTTCCGAATTCATTTCTCTGTGGAGTGATAAGTTGCAAGAAAAATACCCCCAAATCACACATATACAGGGCACTGTATACAATCATGTAGATGGTACTGTATGCACAACCCATATATTACAATGTATAATGGCTCCGCAGGACAAGGGTTAAGGTGAAATGCATACAGAAACATTTGCAGTAAGTCAAAAACAAAATTGTCTACTAACAATGTGCACGCACTCAGTCGAACGCTGGAGAGAAATCCAATCTGCAGCAGCCTGGAGAGATTGAACTGAAAAATATTGGAAGCAATTGCGCCTCATTAAGTAAATGGCGGGGGAGGTAATACGCTTGTAAATTGGAAAATAATAGTGCTTGAGTTCTCTACGGTGGAGCGTCCGTGATTAAGTCAGTTGTAAGCTGATTAGGAATGACTGGGGGGATGATTGGGTGGCTAAGAAACCCAGCAGGGCTTGTGCAAGCTGAAATAATATTAACTCTAAGGCATGTCATGGAACACTTCAATAAGTAAGGATTTAAGGCTCAAGAAATAGGATATTTGAGGTTAAGTCTATTCATTGTTAATATATTCTTTCTTCAAATGACAGAAAAATTAGTGATTGGATTATTGGACTGTTTGGGTTTGCTCTTAGATATTCAAAGTTTAGGTTAGATTAGCTCAGGTCACATATGTCATACAATCAATCCTGATGTACAATCGCAAGTTGAGGATGATTTTGGGATAATGTAAAATTGTGTCTTGGATCCTAAGCAATGTTCTAGCCAACATCTGTCTTTCATTTGATTGCAGACTGCAGTTGGGTATTTCTAGCACTCAGAAAAGATATCTTCTGCAACAGGCAAAATTCTGATGAAAGTTGACCAAAAATGCAATGAAAACCATGAAAAATGGGGGGTTTGCGCAGGCGCAGTACGTTCTGGCGACGTGCTATGTAACTGTGACGTATTGACTGTTGTCTTCTTCCTTGAACCAGCCATGATCAGCTACAACATCATCACAGGTGACACCATTACCAAGGTCATGGTGCGAGCTGCCAGGCGTAAGTATTCTCTCCACCTGCATCCCGCTTTTTTGGTATTTTTTGTTATCTTTTCTTTTTGTGTTTCTTTCAGCCATGATAAGCTACAACATCATTACTGGAGACACCATCACAAAAGTCATGATGAGAATATCTGGAGGTAAAATACTTTTATTTGATAATTTTGCATTACTCACTTTTCTTCTGCATATTTTCTATAATCATTTTATGTTATGATTGGTTCATTCTTGACTAATCTGAAATACAGATTGTTGCATTTACTATATATAAAATCTAGTCTTTTAATCATAGTTGATCATAGCTGATCTTGCTACTAAGATGTTAAAACCTGTTACAGTATGTACTTAGTCTAGTACCTTCCATTTTAAATAGAAATCCAGACAAGAAACTATATTACTAGTCTATTATTATATAGCTTCTATAAGTTGTCTTAATTTCTGTATCATTCTGTATCTGTATAGGTATAGCCAGTATAACCGCCCTTCGGCATAGCACACCAGCTTAAAGCACTGATGCTTTTCTGTCAAAAGTCCCCACTTCTGCCTAACTTCACAAAACTGTTGTATTTCCAGTTCCAGTGGATGAGGAAACAGGCAAAGTCTACGGTACAGTTGGGAATGTGTCCCGCCCCAGTTAGATGACTCACAGGACTAAAATGACTAACTAACTAACTAACATTCCTCTCACTTATACAGCAGCTTCTACTAACTAAATCATTATGTGTGGAATACTTCATAACAGAACTTAAGAATAATCATCACGGCATTTTGATGAAAAAATAAAACATCATTTTCATCTATGTCCAGATACATTTGTACAAGTTGCTAATCTACTCAAATGTGTTACTAACATTTCCTAACTTTTTTGACTTAATTAACAGTTTGTATAATTACTGAGATGTCCAAACTTAAGATATCTACCAACCCTCCTCTGTAATCCATGCTTAAGATCATAATCATGACAGTGACTGCTTTCACATGAAGAAAAATGTTGAAGCAAGTAGGTTGAAAATTTAACCTCCTTGGTTGAAGTGTTCATGACCTTATAAACTGTGTGTCAAGTAAAAACTAAAGCCCCCTCAGAGGTACATTGTACATCTCGACTAATTTTCATCCACAGTTCTATTGATATTAGTATTGCGTACTGTGTTTAGCTCTATTCTCTATGGTGTTAATGTTTTATTTGGTGTGTTTTTCTAACAGTCACAGAGACCAACATCCTGGCCAACCGTTACTTCATCATCTGCCTGTGCACCCTTTTCGTCACTCTGCCTCTGTCTCTGTACCGCAATGTTGCAAAACTGGCAAAGGTACTGTATGTTTAGCCTCTACCAGGCACCGCGGATCGCTGGAAAAATAGTAGAAATTGGCCGAAATAAAGGGATAGTATACCAGAGAAGATCCAGGGTGGGTCGCAAATTGGATCTTCTATGGCCCTGGATCTTCTCTGGTATACTATCCCTTTATTTCGGCCAATTTCTACTATTTTTCCAGCGGTCCGCGGTGCCTGGTAGAGGCTACTGTATGTTCAACAAGTCTCTACCAGACTAACTACGCCATGCTATAATTTTAGGAGAATATTTGCCAGGGGAGTTTTCCGCCTTGGGGTTTGGTTGTAAAGAATCAACCTTCTGTGGACTGACTCCTCTGGCCAATTTAACTCTCCTTTTTGCCAAATTCTACGATCCGTATACCTGTAGAAAGGCCTGGTGGAGGCTAATGTTCAACTGCCTCTTTTTCCTTGTGTATATAAAGTCAAGGTTCAACTACTGTTTATCTGTCCTCAAATAAATCCATATATAAGGTCAAAATAACCCTACTCTATCTTGCAATTTGCAACATGATGCAACCCAACACCACAGGGTGTCTGCTACAGCACCAGTTACCATGGTGACAGACGTCTGGTCCAGGTCATTGACCTTGTGTGTTTGGAATGGGAGAAGAACCAGAGAAAAAACAATAATCATAACGTTTTCCTTCTACGAAGGTAAACATAATCAGTATAAAAAGTAGGTCTTAATCAATAATATATGGTGACAATGATAGAGTACAGTCGACATCGAAAATTTGGAGGTGTGTGTTTTACCTTTCAAAAACAGTCACTGATTGTCAGTGATTGATGAATGTTCTACTAACTGTTAATCTTACGCGACGGATGAACCTCAATACATCAACGAAGAGAATTGATAGTTTTTTAACACTTTCTTCTCCGCAGGCGTCCCTGTTTGCCTGTCTGCTGGTGGTGTTCATCATTATCGCTGTCATCGTCAGATCAACAGACATGCACATGTAAGTCGCAACTCTTCTTCTTTCTTTTTCTTCTTTCATTTTTAGGCAGCCGCCTTCAACTACATGTAGCTGAAGATTCTGCTGCCTTTTTGTGGATAATACAAGATGATTGTGATTCGCCAGGCCTCCATCCAGGGAAGTCATGTAATTTAGTGCCTTTCCCAAGGGCACAAGATCGGTGACATGGCAGGGTTCGAACGCGGGACTTCTTGGTTCCAAAGAGGTTTAAAAAAAGGAACCTATTTAAACCTCCTTGTTGGTTCCAAGCCGAATGCTCTGCCATTACGCCACATGACCCCACTTATCTACAACATACAGCTCACCACTTGACTCATCAACAACAGATCAACAGTGCCCCCTTGCTCTTACACATGGCACTGCAGGTTGAAGCAACTGCAATTGACACTAGGAATTCCTGGGATCTAAAATTACATATCTTCACATTGTCGTTCACATATCTTCACATTGCCACGTTCTGACTAGACATTATATAGACATTATAGAATACTGTGCTCTCTTTCAAGTGTGTATATGGTTTTGCATCAATGTTACCGGCCAATAAATTAGTGGAATTGTTACTATCTGGGAGATCTCTCAACTTGTAATTTTCTATCAGTACAAGACACCCACAGTGATTTCAGGGTTAAGAGATCGACCATATAAAAGCAGTGGCATAAACTAGTCTTGGTTAGCAAAAACTGACTACTTTAATTGTCCAAATGATTATACATGTAACTTGTATTTAGCCTAATTACATTGTACTTTCTTGTCCTATTTGCAGCCCTCCAACAGAAGATGCCTACACCTTTGCCAAGCCAGGGTTTGCACAAGCAGTGGGCATCATGGCTTTTGGTGAGACAAAATTTAATTTAGTATTGTTCATTTCAGTCAAAGAAGGCAATAAAAATGATGAGCTTTTTTTGTTTGTAAAAAGAACAAGGAATCCCAAAATCAACATCCTTCATTTCACCATTTTTTGTTGTTGATTTTGGGATTGTTTATCCAGTTGTCAAAGAATGATGGTCATAGGTAATGGATGAAACCATTGACAGTTGGGGTCCTTCAATATTACACAATGTTCACAATTTCATATTTGTCCAGATAATTCATACTATTTATAGTAAGAACCTCGATACCTTGAGTACTGTTAGTACATAGTCTTCTAAAAAGAGAAAATGCATCTTTGCCCCTCCAGCCTTTGTCTGCCACCACAACACATTCCTGATCTACGGCTCTCTGGAGGAGCCGACGGTTCATCGCTGGTCCATCGTGACACACATCTCTGTAGTCGTGTCATTCATTGCCACAGTCGTGTTCGCTGCCTGTGGATACGCCACCTTCACCGGGTACACCCAAGGTCTGGGACTTCTCTTCTGTGTCGTGTTTTTAGGCCGCACTGACTTAATTTTATGGTTGAAATCTTCTGAAGACCCCCACACTAGTGCGAGCGGGAGAATAAAAAAAATCCGGCTAGAAAAAAAATGCTGCTAAACCACAGGAATACAAAGCTAGTATTGTGAATGTGCAGTACTACACAGCGACTTTTACGACAAGCCGGCACATGCCGGCCTTTTGCAGTATTTAAGAGTCAGCACTGTACTGAGTTTTTGTGTTCCATGGAGCTTCGGCAGCACAAAAGTGCATTGAGCTAAGTGGCTTTGCACTCACTCTCTCGCTCGCTCGCTCGCTCGCTCACTCACTCACTCACTCAGCCATCCTCTGTAGTTACCGCCGGCTCAGTATTGTCGCTACCTACCATGGACTATGGAGGATGGCAACGTTTTGTATTGTCCTGTTTTATAGCTCCTAAAGGAAATTGATGGTTCTTGCATGTTGACTGAGATGATATTTGTGTGATTTTTGCAGGGGATGTGTTGGAGAACTACTGCCATGAGGATGACCTGATCAACGCTGCCAGGTTCTGCTACGGAGTCTGCATCATGCTGACCTTCCCTGTCGAGTGTTTTGTTTGCAGAGAGGTGAGTTTAACACCAAGGGGGTTAAATGTTGTGTTTTAAGAGCTATTTAAGAGTGCTGCACAGTCTTGTTCTAGTAATGTTAACCTTCACAGAAGGAAAACAAATTGTTTTTGGCTCTGTTTCTTCTTCCTCTTCTCCTAATAAATAAGTTCAATGACTTGATCCAGACGTCTGTCACCATGGTAACTGGTGTACCTTCGCAGAAGGAAAACATAATTGTTTTTGGCTCTGTTTCTTCTTCCTCTTCTCCTAACAACTAAGGTCAATGCCCTGAACTAGACGTCTGTCTCCATGGTAACTGGCGTTGGGTTACATCATGTTGCAATTTTATAGTAGGAGGGATTTAGACACCTTTCACCATATATACATGAATGTGTTTGAGAACTAACAGATAAGACCATATGTGAAGGTAAACAGTTATGCATTTGCTTGGAATTGTTACCTTTCTAGTTGGGTAAATGAATTCTCTCACTGCTACTGATGATAGCATTGTTGACAGATGAATCATATTGATGAGCTACTCTGATGCCCATCTTTCCATTTTTCAGGTGATAGAGAATTTCTTCTTCCAAGCTGCACAGCCTACGACCATGCTGAGACACGTGATCGAGACGGTGATCATAGTGGGAGCGACTCTGGGGATCTCACTGGCCACGGACTGTCTAGGCATCGTTCTGGAACTCAACGTAAGTCTGGAGATTTCTAACTAAACATCCACTGCCATTTTCTGGCATAGTCACATATTTGTCGTAGCTACTTAGCTCAATGCACAGAAGTGGTCAATTGGCTTTGCACCCAGCCATACCACTCACTGTCTTGCTCGCTCACTCACTCAATCACTGACAGATTAGACCCTAATGTGCCAACTGCATTCTCTTCTCTGTTATGATGGTACTTAGAGTTTTGACTTGGCCCTGTTCAGGATCTCTTCCTTTGTTATATGGGCGTGCCACCTCACCTCAGGTTTCTACATCAGTATCTTCCTCAGGTTTCTGAATACTTATGTTGTACATTTCCAGCTAATCTACAATATAGGAAGTGATATATAATTATTAATAATACTGTTATAAGTCAATGCATCAAAATCTTAACACCTGTTTTAGGGCACCCTGGGAGCCACCCCGCTTGTCTTCATCCTGCCTGCCGCCTGCTACATGAAGCTGGAGGAGGGGAAGTTCTACAGCGCTAAGAAACTCCCGTCTCTACTCATTGTGGTTACCGGGGCGATCGTCATGGTGATAGGCTTCATCATGGCGGTCCTCAGTCCGCAGGGGTGCTCGCACGGAAAGGAGATGTCCTACTGTCATGCCAATGATGTCAACGCCACCGACTTCTCTTCCACATTCATTCCCAGTCCAGAGATGCTTACTAGCACTACAGCTTCTCCTCCTATTATCAGTACTACCACTGCATTTTCCAACTTCTCAATAGGACCCTAACTTCTAGCATGAAAGTTCATCTAAGTTGGTAAAATACATAATAAGTATTGAACTGTTCTCCAACTCAAGAAAAGGAAATTGACTAACCATGAATTTTTGACCGAATCACTTGATCTTCATCAGCTTTCTGACCCAAGTGACGTGACTTACATTTTGCCCGCGTGTGATGTTAGGACTGCAAGAGGAGTGAAGGAAGCCATTTACATCAGGGTAATCCAACCTTCGTTGAACCAAGACAGAGGGCAGTACCGACTTCTGACGAACTTTGACCCAGTGCTGACATCACACACAGGCAAAAGTCACGTCTACAGCAGGTCAGAAAGCTGAAGAAGACCGAGTGATTCAGTCGAAATTTGCATGGGAGTCAATTTTCTTGAGTTGGAGAACAGTTTAAATCTCATTAAGGACCATAACTTCTCTCACAAGATTGTAACTTAATATATTGTTGTGAATGTTTGTATATTGTTAGTACCGGTAGCCATATATTTTATTGGCATTATTATCATGGCCAGTATTTTAAGTCTTCTCGTGAAAGTTTAATATTTGTCTGTGTTGCTTAGCCAAATACTTGACCTAATGTATGAAAAATGGATTACATACAATCTGACCAGAACAGTGGGGAAATTTCAGGTACATATTATTATAGTTATTTGTCTTTGTTGTACATGTATTTGTGTACTTTATAGGCTATATATTACATTACTACTGCTTACTCAAGAATGAATGGACTAGTGTGTAAATGTATTGAAGTTATGTACTAGACAATATTTGTTGTGTTTGTAACATGACCAAGTGATTGTGTACATCAAAATGATTAGTTTTATGAAAAATGGCGAAGAGCTGAAGATACAACTTCGAGGAACCTGCATTTGTGAAGCTAAACTTTTGGTATGTGGAGCAAAATGGTACTGCCAAGTGCTGAGTAAAGTGCTGGCTTGTAGTTTATCATTAATTTAGCACTAAATGATGTGAACTTTCTTCCATTTAAAGCAATTCATCCAGCGGTATACATGTGGCCTACATGTCTTGTATGTTTCAGAGGAGGGTCTTCTATTCAAACTATTTGTAAAAGTACAACAGTGTCTTGCTCTGAGCAATTATACATTGTATGAAATACAGATTGGCGTAAGATTTTGAACTCAATGAATACAGATTAACCCATGTGTATACACATAAAGTATACCCGTGTATACATTCAAGTAAATGCAAAAAGGGAAAAATACAATGGACAATAGGGTGCTATGCTTAAAATTCCAATCAGCAGTGAATTGTGGATTTTCTGTAGTATAACTTACTGTACCTATTTTACCTTGTAAACAGTTTGTATTGATACAATAGCTAGCTTAAATGTGGATTATTTGAATCAACGACTGAAGGTTGCTTTAGACCAATGTAAATGTGCCATGGTAGCTGCATTTTGTGTCAAGCTTTATCGTGTGATTGAATGTGAAAAGATGGACATGTGTTGTGAACTTGTATATAGTACTTCAAAAGCTGGAAATTGAGCTACGCTGTTGTGCAAGATTATGACTTCCTAACATGTATAATACCCAAGACTCAGAGCTTGTAACTGCTTATGAGATTATATAATAAGTTTTCTGCTCAAGTGCAATCTGCTATGTGAATAAAAAAGATTTAATGACCTAGAGGATAAATGAAGACTGCATTTTTATTTGCAAGCTGTCAATTCTTTGCATAATGAAAGAGGGAAAAACTTATTTGAGTAAACATCACATTCAACTTTTTCTAGTTTTGATAGAACTAACATGCTTGCTTTGCATGTATTACATGTAGTCGGCTAAGAGATAATATTGGTAGCAGAAAATAATCACCAGAATAAATGTGCAAGAACTGAACCATGTCAATTTGTTTAAAAAACAAAATACTGAAAGCTGAAATTAAATCAACAAAATACTAGCTTAAGTTATATAGACTGTATTACATGTATTAAACAACTTTTCTCTTAAGAGGCAAGTTTGTTGCTGGACGTTGCTTTCCTGGAACTATCGCAGAGTGGAACTCGCTGTCACCGAGTACAGTAGGGGCATTATCATTAGAGAGCTTTAAACAATGTTTAGAGTTAGAAGTTCAAAGGTTGGGTGTAAGAAGTCGATCGGTGTAATATAGCCAGCTGCCACCACGCCCCGTGCCTGCGAAGCTGGTGTGTTACGCCGAAAGGCGGTTATACCGGCTATACAGATACAGAAGCTGGTGTGTTACGCCGAAAGGCGGTTATACCGGCTATACAGATACAGAAGCTGGTGTGTTACGCCGAAAGGCGGTTATACCGGCTATACAGACACAGAATGGTACAGATGCTTTACTTTAGTGTGTAGGCAAGATGATCAGTTCTCTACATGTATGTCTGGAAGAGGCCTTTGGTACTGGCTTAGATTTACATTTAGGCCCTGATAGGGACGAACCTCACTAGGGACACAGTCATAATATCCAGATTCATCTTCATCAAACTCCGTACCTGGCCATGTTTCTTCTTGTGGAGAGTTTTCAGATGAACTGTTGGCCTCGCGCTCGGGCCTCTGTTTGTGCTTGTGCTTGTAGCAGATGAAAGCCACAATGGTACACAGGACAAGACCACCAATAGAGGTACCTGCGGCTACACCAATCAGGATTTCGGTGGGCGTTCCAGTTGTTGGTATCACAGAAAAGGAAATAGACTTGAGGTTAAATCCGGCAGCATTCGATGCGAGGCATGCATACAGTCCCATGTCACTCTCCTCTACGTTGTTGATAGTGAGGGTGGATTTTGTATGGTTGTAACCCAGTTTTGTCGTGCTGACTTGGTAACGCGGCGTTTTTTTGTCTGTTGGTATGGAACTAGGTGGGCCCAGTGGATGTGACCATGTTATTGTGGGTCGGTTGGATCCTATGGCAGTACAGCACAGAGTAACAGTTTCCCCGATTTTAGCCCAGTGCACTTGCGTGGAACTGTTACAGTTCTCAATGGTTGGACTAGAGCATGTCAGTTTATCAGGGTTGATAGAGGATAGTTTTAAATTTTTTAGGTGAGGTGGGGACTGACATGTGATCGAGCTTGAGACTTTGGTCAGAAGGATTTCTTTCATGCAGCAGTCACAAGACCACGGGTTGTTGTCTAGTGATAGAATAAGATTGAATTTTGCTGGCCTCCCAAAAAGAGGGGATGGACATGCCTCCAATTGTTTCTCAAAAAGAGAGGATGGAAGTGCCTCTAAGCGATTGTCATTCAACAATAATTTATTATTATGATAGCAACACTTTCTATGATCAAGCATGTTAAAAAATGCCAGTTCGTGGATCTTCTCTAGCTGCATATGGCTGAAATCCATGATAAAGCTAGTATCCTGCATCTCTTTGGAAATGATGTTGGAGAAACTATACTCGTCAAATTGTTTTATGGGGTTCCCTTTTAGGCTGAGTTTGAAGTTCTCAGCAATGGTCATGTTGGAAAATGCCCCTTTTTGAATCGTGGTGATGTTGTTGTATGATAGATCCAAATGTTCAAAGGTGTTTTCATTCGAGAACATTCCAGGTTGGATATAAAGTATTTCGTTATGCCCTATATCCAAAAAACGGAGACTTCCCAAGTCTGCAATACTGGATGGAATCACACTCATCGAGTTGTAAGAAACATTTAGGGTACGGAGATTTTTTAACCCAAAAAATATGCCATGGTTCAGTCTGGCGATCAGGTTGTTAGAAAGGTCGAGGTACCTGAGTTTGGACAAGGTTGAGAACAAGGCATTATTATTACCAGGCAGTGTTGTAAGTTTGTTATATGCAAGGTGAAGTTTTTCAAGTTTCTGCATGTGTTGGAAACTGCCTGGCTCTACAGTTCTTATGCTGTTGTAATTCAGGTCCAAATATTCAAGATTCCGTAGACCAGCAAAACTCTGCAATCTGATGGCAGTTATAAGATTGTTGCTGAGGTCAATCACTGTTGCATGCTCGAGCGACTGAAATTTCCTATCTCCAATTGTAACTATTTGATTGTGTTGAAGCTTGAGACGAGCTGTGGTTGGTAGGATATCGTCAGGAACCACAGGGAGGTCTCTGCTGTGGCAGTCAACTTCCGTACCTTTGCTGTCAACTTGAACTTCTGTACCTATAATATATAATAATAATAATAAAGTAGTTTATTGTCACGTCGATGAAGGTTAGACATCCATGTAATATGATACACCAAAAAGCAATTACTTATTAAGCAACTGGATATGATTTTGAAAACGTCAGATGTTTCAGCTACATATAGTATCCACTAGCTTTCGTCAGTGACTGAAAGACCAGAGGGGAAATGCAGGTTTATAAGCACAAACTATTTCCCCTCTGGTCTCTCAGTCACTGATGAAAGCTAGTGGATACTAGCTGAAACGTCTGATGTTTTCAAAATCATATCCAGTTGTCTGAGTAACTGCTTTTTGGCGTAGTTTATTGTCAACTTGTTGACTGAAATTGTCCACAGTTTGCAGCCACATGTGTGGCTGAATTGATGTAAGGACATCACAACAATATACATTCAAGTAGTAGACGTTAAGAATTACAGCAAACTTACACATTAAAAATAACGTTACGGTATTAAAATTACAATATTGATGATGTAAAATAACACAGTATTAGATCTTGTTTAAAATAAAAAATTGCTCAAAATTTGGATCAATTAAAAGTTAACATCAATGTCAGTATTGCACGTAATACATTCTAGAGGACCGAGGAGTTTAGCAATCTGACAATGTGGGGAATGCTGCTATTGTAGAAGCGAACAGTTCTAGTACTGACAGAGTCCAGGTTGTTGCATGTTTGAGTACCTGTGGTGCAGCTGCAGACTCCATTATATGCGCAGGCTTTGAAAGCTGAAGTCAGGTGTACCAGGGATATGGAGATGGCTAGGATGACTGCACAAGGACCCATCTTCTTTTTTTCTGCGTTGAAGTTCCTGAAGAAATAACAGACTGAACGTTAAACAGAACGCTCGTTAAAAACACAAATGCCCGAGTTCTACTAAGTTCAGAAGTATCTCAACACATACACATAGAATTTCCAGGACACTACTATCCGTCCAGCAAAACTGTTACAGTAGGAAATGAATGTACAGCAGTTCTGACAGTCTGACAGGTCATGTTGATTTGATTATATGGATAACATCCTCGTGTGCATGAATTTTGGCCGTTTCAAAAAAAAAGTTTTTAACCATACTGTAAATCGTAAAAAACAGTTGCAAAATGAGCAAATATATACCATAAGTTGCAAAAAAGTCTTTTAGCCCCAAATGCAACAATAGGAACCATGAAGTCAACACAAAAGGCTGGGTTAATAAAAACATTAAATTTTAAACTTTCAATCAAACGACTGCATTGATAGATGGAAAAACTGTAACAAGTAGGAGGGAGAGGACTTTCCTCAACTTTTGGTGGCAAAATATGAGCATTTTTTAGTTGATTCAGAACCAGATTTTTTTATTTTTTTTGCAAATCAGAGAAGAGGTGAATCCAAGAACCAACAAATCAAATTGGTGTGGCCTTAGTCATACAGTAGTTTATTTTTTATTTTATTTTATTTTTTTCATTTATTTATCCAGGGGTAGCATATCACCAATGGTGGTTTTCAACGTTCCTTGCACAGAAACAATTACATATACATTGTACATAATATAATAACAGAAAAAGAACTTAGTACTTACTTATCATAATCGTTGTGATAATAAACGAAACAGGACAAATTAATTTTGTACAGAAAACAAACTAAATAGCTTACCCGTCAGTGAAAATCACAGAGCTTGACTTATGATGGCCAAGTTAACAGCATAGAGCAGCAACATGTACATGTAGGTGGAGGACCACGTCTTGACTGTTCCAAACTGTTAGTGTTAGGAAGTATCTACTAGTATTTTGAGCTCACAGTAACACTTGTCTGATAAGAACAAAATTCCCCTCCTGTCTTTTTCCTTTTCCTCCCCGTTAGTTGATTCGTGTTTTGAAGTGCAAAGTCAGACCCACACTTCCTATGGGAATTCATGCCCAGACACTCAGACAGGGAAATGAAAGGAGACACCATCAGGAAAATGCAATCCCACTGGAGAAATGAAAAATGTAAGAATTACAGTACAGACAGGGAAATGAAAGTAGAAAGAAAAGGAAAGGTCTCCCGTGCCCTTATGCAGAGCGTAGGGTGGTGCCCATATCCGGGTAGCCCTTGGGCGACACACAGTTGTGCAATGCACTACATCAGGGGGCTAGTCCACTGGGAGTGCTGTGTGTTTCAGCTTCCCACGCTCTTTCTCATATGTGCTGAGTGCTAGAAGAGGGAAAGAAGTGCGTACAATTTTTATAGTCTTTGGTATGACCCGGCCGGGGTTTGAACTCCTACAAAGCGAGCACTCTACCAATTGAGCTATTGCACCGGTACATAAAGGAGAAACCATCAGGAAAATGCAATCCCATTGGAAAAATGAAACAGCTGTATTGTGCATTAAGAAAAATGTAAGAATTACAGTACTTCTGTCACACTGACTATGGAATTAAAAGAATTCATTCTGACACACCAATTTAATTTATTGGTTCTTGGATTTTGTCATAAAAAATATGAAGCGACAGGGCGAAAAAATAAAAACAGGTCTGGGCATCCTATTATAGCCCCAAATGCTACCATAGGAGCTATGAAGTCAACACGAAAGGCTGGGTTAATATTTTAACAATGAATTTTGAACTTTTAATCAAACCACTGCATTGATAGATGGAAAAACTGTAACAATTAGGAAGAAAAGGACTTTCCTCAACTGTTGGGGGCAAAAGATGAGCAATTTTGAGTTGACTCAGAACCAGAGTCAACTCATCTTTTTTTTTTGCAAATCAGAAGAACCAACAAATTAAATTGGCGTGGCCTAAATGTTGAGATAGCTGGTACTTTTGATTGCAAGCCATGTTTCCAGTGACAATCTGTAAACTATCAGACCAACAACCTTGTTCTGATCTGAGTTAACTTCCTGCCTGACCACGCCCCCAAGCAAATGCCTCTATATCAGTGCGTGTGAATTACATGTAGACTGCTTTTTTTTACAGTCTTTCTAGAAATGCTAATTTCTGAGTCAGTGAAGATTTTAAAAAAGTTCACTAATACATGTACCAGTAAAAAGTGTACCAGTAAAAAGACACATTTCATTTTTTTTGCAGAGACTGATCCTTACATCAGACCTCTGCTTGGAGCATACTGTATTTCTGATTTTTTCACTGTACTGTTATATATGTGCACTGTCACTTCTGTACCATGACCTTATCATTACCGTTAACAAATAATTCCTGGACTTTTTTCCCTGCATCTGTCGCCACTGTGAATATATAGTTCTGTGAACATGTCCATTTTTCTCAGACCGTGAAATTTTGCTACCTTGAACATAATGTGAGTTACAGTAGTCTAGACAACAACCTGTGAACTGCTTGGCAAATGAGTCACACCGGTTGTGTTGAATCACTTCTACAGAAATATACCTCTTCATATGGTTCCTCTTAATCTGTTTCCTCTCCTGTTCTCGTGACCACATGTACTGATGAAAGTGCATTCCTTTTTTGGCCCAATGATGTAACTTTAAGTTTGGAAGTTCATGGAAAGGCCAGGCATTTTTTTAAAGGAAGTTTAATAAAGGAAGACTAGTTTAATAAAATTATACATTTTTTCCAGGGCAGGGGAATAATTTTTTTTCTCAACTGTCATGATATCAAAGCCACATGACATCAAGTTTGGTGTAAAGGTAATTTGAAAATACATTATCAGAAATTGTTGTTTTTCTTATTTTTGATCCCGGCCTTTCAAAATGATTAATGATGTATCATCTACTGTTAAAGGTAAACTACAAAAACTAGCCATTTTGTACCCTAAAAATCACCACTGACACAAACAACAAGCCACTTGGGAAGATTTTCACTGCACATAACATTTATTGACCAAATCTGTACAGGCCCCTGCAAAACTGACTTTGCTGAATCTCCAAACCCTAAGAATTTAAGAAATGTACAGTACTTGTGTAACATAATATGCTAGTACATCTTCTGTATGGGCTGTTGTTAAGGATATGTCCAAATAATTCGCATCATAAAATTTCCTGTCAGTTACAGAAAATGTACCCCTATTCCCATAGTAGTTAGCTCCAAAGCAGACAGTCTTGAAACTGAAATTTGGTCAGCACCACTCTTCTGCAGGGGGGAAAACTTTGGTTCTCCTGAAGTCCCATTGTTGCAACTATACAGTCCATGTCAGTTACAGTAAATGTACCCCTATTCCCATAGTAGTTAGCTCCAAGGCAGACGGTCTTGTAACTGAAATTTGGTCAGCACCACTCTTCTGCAGGGGGAAAAACTTTGGCTATCACAGAGTCCCATTGTTGCAACTATACAGTCCATGACATTCTTAGGACCTAGATGTATTATTGTGTGCCTTAGCATGTCGTAAGCATGTGTGAGCACCAGTTTGCTGCATCCTTAGTAGGGTAATGGTTAAGTCTTTCCCACCATGGGATGTCTAAGCACATCGGCAAAACATACTGTGCCTGCGAGAAACCCTGATTTTTGCATGCTGTCATTAATCTTAAACATGCAAATATGACTTTATTCTGCCGAAGTGCTATACACAATACTGACAATAATGACTCTTTCCTAGAACAACATCACTATGGCACAAGTTACCACGTGATTGTTTCCCATATGGGTATAACCTTAAACTTTTCAAGTCTAAGGTCAACAAACATCTGTCCTCACTGTCTGTGCAGTAACCCAAAACAGTTGAGTGGCTCCCATGAGCCTTGTTTTGTGGTGAACATGAAGTAAATAAAAAAAAACATTACGGGTTTCATGCAGGTGCAGTATGTTCTGTCGAGGTGTTGAGACATCTATGGCACAAGATGGGGGTGGGCGGTCAGAGGACTACTGAGGGGGTAGGGGGATGCCTGTGGGGGTGGGGGCTTCCTGCAGGTTCTTCACGAGCTGAGCCAGCCAGCGTTTGGTGGAGTTGTCGTCCTTGAGGACAGCAGCGAAGGTCGTGTCCTTCAGCTGGTCGGGTAGGCATTGCCGCAGCGCCTCACGGGCTCTGTGGGTGGAAATGCAGAATTTAGGAAGTAGAATTTAGGGATTAGTGCTGTGTACCAGTCTAGGACTTGTAAAAATGTTTTTAAGTTCAAGTCCAAAAAAACTTTAATGTCTGGAATCAGTCCTGGACATCACATTCCCCTTTTTGTTCTAAACCTCCTAAATCTTCAATAGATCAAAGAGTTGTGCTGCAAAGTGAAAAAAAATATTGTCATTGGGCATCGTGAAGTGTCGGCCTCCATGAATTATGAGGCCACAGTTATACTCAGTTGTGCCGCCTGAACAACATACGTTTCTTCTAAATCCTGGTAGTACAGTGTGCGTGCTACAAAATTTACCGGTACATGGACCGGTGCAGGTAGGCATCAGAAATATCTGCACAGCCCCAATTTTGCTTGACAAGTACTGAGGTGCATATGCACCCAGTATATTTCTCGAGTCCTGCATAACTAAAGTTATGAAGAGAAAAGAAAGGAAGGCCTCACCTTGGGTTGTCGGACAGTCTGAGGTAGTGATTCAACTTATACAGTACAATACAGTATTTGTTCCTAGGCCTAGGGATCATACTAAAAACTGTTCAAAAACTACTATTATGATATGCACCCAGTATTTCTTGAGCCCTGCATACATACAGGAAGAAAAAAAGGAAGGAAAGCCTTACCTGGGGTTGTCGGACAGTCTGAGGTAGCAGCGCACCACGTGTTTCAGGAGACGGGCGGAGGGCTCTTTGGACAGCTGGAGCACCATCTTACCCTGAACAACACACAAAGTACAGTTGATAAATCAGTGAAGGTTAGACATCAAGGTAATACGCCAAAAACAGTTATTCAAACATCTTACCCTGAACAACACACAAAGTACAGTTGGGTTTTACTCTTTCTCATGCAAAAAGCAGCTTCAAATATGACAGATTTGATTTGACTTATTGAAATTGCAACAGTACAATACATATGGGACACAGGCAGCTGGTGTTATGTTTCACAACAAGAAACAAATACAGGACAAAACAATACTCACTACTTTCACTTGAGTTAGGTGAGGAAAGTCGTGTAAAGTATCTTTCCAAAGGGCACAAGATCGGTGGCATGGCAGGACTTGAACCCAGGCCCTCTTGGTTTCGAGTCAAGCACTCTGCCGTTATGCCACACAGTAATCATATATGGTATGTCACCCTACAGTAGAAGTATTGTAGGCAGAAGTACGCTCAGCCTTACCAATATCATGGCTACATGGGAGAACCTCTCGTAAGTCTGACAGATGTACGACAAGCCTGTCTCATCCAGCAGGATCTTCTGCAGGATAAACGTTGCAACCTGCACAGAAAAAAAACAACACCACACAAATGGGTCAACATCCTTTTTTGTCTAGTCATGGGTTATCAATGGCAGACACATGACATGCAAAATGGATATGTTTGGTACAATCCAGCATGTCTGTGAAGCTGATGTGTTACGCCGAAGGGCAGTTATACCAGCTATACAGATACAGATGATCTATACAGATACACGGCGGCAGCTAGGTACATTACATCGAACAACCTGTCACACTTAACCCTTGAACATCTAACTCTAAATTTAAGTTTAAAGCTATCTAATGACAATGTCCCTACTGTACTTGGTGACAGCGAGTTCCACTCTGCTATACATGTAGTACTAGGGAAGAATGAATTTTTGAACACCTCAATCCTTGGTTGACAACTCTGGTACTTGAAGGCATGTCAGACTATTTCTTGTTCTTTTCTGATCTGGCATTAGGTACTTGGTATCTCCACCAGTTACTCACAGTTTTAGAGAGCTCGCTGCCTGACTCCATGATGCGCAGACACAGTGGAATGATCTCTGTTGTCAACAGGAAGTTGATCACCTCCTGTTCATCTGTCTGTGAAGCAAAATGCATTTAAGATTTTAGTCCTACATGTCTTAATTATTTCAAAAGAATACAATCTTCAAACTCATGGAAACAACTTGAACAAATATTGAATCAAACCAGCACCTAATCTTTTATCTACCACAGAAAATTATATCTGAATCACTACAAAAGTGACACCATATTGTAAATAATTGACATATCTCCTAAATTATAGAATGTAATAATACTCTCCTCAAGAAAACAATAGATTAGCTCAAGTATTATTATGAATTAGCTCTGTTATAATTTAGTATAATTCATGTATCCACCCTTGTTTTTTCTTGTTGAGTTGTTGAGTAATAAATTTGATTTGATTTGATTTGATTTGTAATGTGGCAATGCATGAACATTGCAATGCATCCACTTTGCAAAAACTACAACTTCGTGTTCTTGAGACTGCTCACCTTGACTAAGGCACCGATGACCCCCAGACTGGTCAGTCGAAGATACTCGAATGGTCGTGTCTTGCTTACAGTGTGGAGGAAGGGGTATAGGAACAGGGGGATATGAGCTGGGGGGGGGGGCACAATATGGGAAAAAGTTATTGATATAAGATATCAAACAAATGTAAAAAGGTTTGACAATGCAGGAGATTAAAAAGAGACGCAGTGATCATTATACAGAATTTTTGTGCAAAGCTTCAAACAAAGCCTTTGACGCCACTTAACATTTTCATCTTCAGACCCGAAGAAGAAGCCAACAACAACATTTTCTTGCAACTTCGAAAGTACCAGGTAATCTTCACTCCATTTCAACAAAATCCAAACACAGATTACTTTGGACTTTGACCTGTTAAGAAACTTTTCATTACAGCCATTACTACAGAGACAGGTATTTCTTTTTACACAACCGTTAATTCTCACCTTGCTGACGTTTTGGTGTCTGTCAGACACCTTCTTCAGAGCTTCTGATGTTTGGGATAGTGTTCTGCAGTACTCCAGTCAGAAGCTCTGAAGAAGGTGTCTGACAGACACCGAAACGTCAGCAAGGTGAAAATTTACCGGTTGTGTAAAAAGAAATACCTGTCTCCTAAGTTCTACCAACCTGATGAAATTATTTTTGGAAGCCATTACTACAGTGTATTACATAAATACTTACAGGACAAATCTAAAGGAAGCAGGGCACAGACTTACCTGCCAAGAAAGCTGATCTTGTTTCTGGATGTGAGGCCACACACTGTAGCAGTGCCAGGGCATTACATACCCTGTTGGACTGGTGGGCCTGGAGGTGGGTATACCAGTAAGAGTAGTTCATGACATGTCTTGTCTCTCATCAAGGACAGATATGTTTGCTTATGTGCGAAAGGGGTTTAACGCAAAGGACAGGCCATGCTTGCCTGATTAGGGATGACGCTACATTACTCGATATTTGGAAGTGTTTTTTTTAACAGACAATGAACCCTACTACTGGAAAATTATTCTTCGCATGACCTTTTGTTCACCTGACAAAGACAGTTCAATTTTTGCCTTTCTCCTTCCATGGCAGAATTGCTTTGACTCTTTTAGGTAACTTGTCTTCCTGATCATCTGATTTACTATTTTCTATTCCATGTAAAAGGGAACCAACTAAAATATTTCCCAAAGAATAATAAGTTACATGTGTTATCTAAAATCTACTTGATACTGAGTAGTATACAGTCAGTATCCTGGTTTTGATACCAATTGACAGATAACAGATAATACAACATCACCATACAATGTACATGCTTTAAAATACATGTGAACAGTACAGTACTAAAAATAGTTTACTCCTGAGGTAATTCCAAGTATGAGAATGTTTGTAATAACTTACAGTGAGATGAGGAGGGTTGATGGCGGGGTAGATGTTGACTATCTCCTGTAGCAGGGCTGCTACCGTACCGAAGGAGTGCCACAGCATGGGAGCCAGGTCTGACACAACCTCACGCTTCTTACTGGGAGTTCACAAGGGAAAATACAAAGTGATATTAATATTGCATGATATTCCTGTACTAGATGTTGACTATCTCTTGTAGCAGAGCTGCTACCGTACCGAAGGAGTGCCACAGCATGGGAGCCAGGTCTGACACAACCTCGCGTTTCTTACTAGGATTTCACAAGGGAAAATAAAGAGTTATGTTGATATTACATGATATTCCTGTACTACACAGGGAATTTGTGTCATTGGATTCATACTTTGCTTAAATGTAATTGCCTATTGGCATTTTGACATGAAGTTTTGCAATTCATTATGGCTTCATGACACCACAACGTATTGTTTTTCTCTCATGTTTCTTCTTTTTCTCCTGCCATTTCTTTAAATGGATTCAACATTTTTTAGCCAAATGACCTGAAATTTGGCATGGAGGTAGACCAGTGGGCAAATTAACGCTAGTTCCAGATATTCAGTTTTTTTGGACTTGAACCTTAACATTTTTGCAAGTCCGGAACTAGTTCCAGCGAACTGGTACACAGCACTATTGTCCGTGCCTATCAATGAGAGCCTGCATGGGGGGTAGTGATTACGAATTACGCAAAATTTCCGCCGCCAATTGCGAATTGCGTTCAAGTCTGAGAGCTGATTACGACTCTATACTTTGCAGTTAATGTTCTATTACGAATTACGTTGATTTTGGGTGACTGCCTACAGATTACGAAGACTAAAAAGGCCTGATTACGCCTTACGAAAAGGGGCATGCAGGCCCCCATCAATCATTGATGCAATCAAAAACAGTGAAAACTGATGGTATAAAGTCTTACCTGAGCTCTAGGAGCGCATTCTCCCTAGTCTCTGGGTTGGACAGCTCCACGATCCACTGGTAGATCTTGTCTCGGTCCACCTGCTGCCCCGCAGCTGCAGCCACCTGCTGCGCCTGCGAACAGACAGAAATAAAATAATAGTAGCAATAATGGCAAAATCCTCAATTCTGAACCGGACTTCTTTAATAATTAGCGATTGTGTGAAGCAGATGAGTATGGGATAAGGTAGATCTTGTCTCGGTCCACCTGCTGACCCGCAGCTGCAGCTGCAGCCACCTGCTGCGCCTGATAGCATGGCAGACAGGAACAAAAAATCAGCTGCCAGGGATCTGTATCTTGATAGGTAACCTGGTATCCAGTCTATCGCGGTTGGGGCAGGCTGTCTTCTGGTCTCTTAGTCTTATAGTTTTCCCCACCAGTACAACAGAGTAGTATCCCTCCTCTTTCTAGTATATCTAGTAGCATCTGTAGGCGCAATGCGATGCTTGCAATCTAGGGAAGTCCTGGGAAATTTAGGATATCAAGCCTTCAAAAATGCAATTTCCTGCATTCTGAGAGGCAAATCATGGGGTTGAGAGTGGTTGTCGGTGGTCCTTCGGATGTTTTCACATTTTTACCCAAGATTTTTGTTGATTTTGTCTGTCAAGGTTGACGGATTGGTTTTAAAAAAATTGGCGCTGAGTTGCACTGGGTAGAAGTTTGCTGTTGTTTTCACTGGTTACCCATCTGCAGAACCTGCTGTTTTGCGGTTCACATATAAAAAATTTGCAAGGCAAGGTGTTCTTGCATACAAATATTCATGCTTTTTCAAAAACTAACGCACCGAAAATTACGAAGACCATCCTTATATACCTCAATTCACCTACTAAACCGATCAAATCACATCTAACGACAAGGAAAGTGCAAAATCTATGAGGCTCAAAATCTATGAACCTTTCATTCATCGCCCCCCTCCCCACACGTCAGTTCAGTATAAAATCGCTTGAAAAGGAACGCTCATTTATGAGCTAAAAACACAAAGCAGAGAGGCTAAATGTCTTCTGCAATGCACAAAAAGCCGTTTTGACTCACCTGCTGCGATAAAGTGTGCATCTGTTGCATAACTTCCGCCGTTTTTCACGTTTTTTTGGACGAAACTGAGCTTTCGAAAATGCGGAGGCGAAAACAACAACCCAGCCCCTCCGCACAGGAAGTAGATATGACGTCATGCGTGACCCGGAAATACTTGGTATAGTGTGCAGTATGTCAGCTTACCGATCAAGGTCGAAAGAAAATATTTCTTTTCTGTTGACCTCTCCTGAACCCTTGTCAATCTACCTGTATTACTGACAATAAGCATAGGAAAGGCATGCATAGGAAAGAATTTTTCAATAGAAAGCAAACACGACTTCGAAGATTTAGTAAATCTAAGAATAACGCTGCAGTTCCCATTGTCGCCAAAAGGAGGCGCTAGGCAAAAGACGCACAAGGTATAACGTCAAGCGATATCACATGCGCAAAAACCTCACGATATCAAGGACTTTCTATGATTGAACGTCCTTGATGATATGTAAGATTTTTGCGCCAAAACTGTAAATATAAATAATTTAAAGGTTCTCATCTAGATTGTCATTTTCAATCTCTATTTCGCTTTTCCGGTGACTCCGAGAATGTTAAAGTTGCGCCAGGCCCACTGTATTTTTAGGAGGCTCCTAAAAAGAATGTGAATCAACAACATGGCCGCCTTGTGTACTTGTTTACTATGCGCTAAACGCGTCATTGTATATGGGTATGTATGTATGTCTGTATGTGATGGCGTTCAGCACCAAGGACAGATATGTTTACCTATGTGTGAATGGCGTTTAGCGCAAAGGACAGGTATGTTTGCCTGACCGCTCGAGTGGGGATGGCATTCAGCGCTAAATCTTGGTTTTCGGATGGTTTATTACTCAGAATGAACGTCGCTGCTGGAAAATTGCTCTTGACGTGACATTTTCCATTGACAGCCGAGGCGTCAGTTCCATGTTTGCCTTCCTCATCTCATGACGGAATCAGAGCTCTCCGTATGACCTAACGTTATATGATGCTGACACTTCTTGACAACTTGACTCTGGTCTTAAATGTTTTATTGTCTCATAAACCATACTTAAACATATTCCAATTATTTTTTTTCTATATTCCAACATTTATCACAAGACATGGCGATGGCACACTCGAGTTTTTTCAACTTATATTTATGCCACCACCAACGCAGACAAACGCATGAACGGACAGCAGACATACTCATTTTCACCTGAGTAAATGAGGCATGTGAGCAAGTGAGGAAATTCGTGTAAAGTATACCCAAGGGCACAAGGTCGGTGGCATGGCAGGATTCGAACTCGGGACCTCTTGGTTCAGAGCCGAACGCTCTGTCGTTACGCCACACGACCCGCATTCCAATGTTTAAGAAAACATCAGTTCAGCGGCTGCTCAGTGATATTTACCTGATGGAAAAGAGAAACCATCAATAAGGCACGTATCGGGTTGAGTGGTTATTTCCACGGAACCACGTTCCTTATCCTACAATTCTCGCAGTCTCTTAGTGTCACTGACGAAAGGTAGTGGATTCTACCTGAAAGGTCTGACCGTTTCCAAAATCATATCCAGTTGCTTGAGTAACTGCTTTTTGGCGTATCATTTATTACCTGGATGTCTAACCTTCACCGACACACGTTCCTTATCATGCGAGCACAATAATAACACTACCGCCCTCGGGCGTCATAGAGCGTGACTGATCTAAAAAAAACGCGCTTCCTCCCTTTCCCGGAAATCAAGCGAGATGCCCTTTTAGATGGCTTCTGTGGGTTCTGATGGTTTGCGCTACCGGCGTGGGCCGGTGTAGCATTTGAAGAGCGAACCCTGATGTGGTAAGGACGAACTTTAAGTACATTGACCCCATGAAAAGTCGCCCAGGGCACAGTATCTATAAAACGGAAGGCCCGCTGATTTTTTTAACAGTCTAGAACATTGATGACGCCCTTCGTGATTTTTTAGTCTTGAGTAATCTCCAAGCAGATCATACGATGGCATTAGGCAGTATCCATTGGTCAGAGCCTGCGGAGTGTCCATTAGCCTAGGTGGCCAATAGATACTGCATTACCACCGTATGATCTGCTTGGAGATTTAGTCCTGGGGTAAATTTTATACCACACTTTTGGATGTTGCATGATTGCCATATACTAGTAGTGACTAAGCGTTGTGCATAAAGCCCTATGTGCATAGCCACTCTATGAAATTCAGTGCATTACTTTGTGGCACTAGAATACATTACTTTGTGGCGCTAGAATGCATTACGTTGTGGCACTAAAACGAATTTCCTTATTTTAGGAGGATGGGGGAGGATAATGGGCCCAAGAATACGAACTGGAATGTTACCAAGAGAAAAATCTATTACAATTTTCAACTGCTCGTAGATATAGTTTTTCAATGAAAGCTCGGAAGTTTTCTTTGTGCTAAGGGATTTCACACATACCGCCCGAGACACTTACTTACAATGCAGCGAATTCGTGCTGTATGAAGGCAAATAACATACATCTGGCGGCAAAGTTCAGACATTCACTCGCGCACGAAAAATTTGTTGTGCACGAACCTCTAGTAGCAAAATGTACATTCGCACCAGTGAATACATCCTTTTCCCACTTCACACACTTGTTGCGGAGGCAGTCAGCTATTACATCTGGTAATGGCACCATCGCCAGCGCTTCAGGGCTCTTACAGAGGAGATTACTCGGCGGAAAACATCGGAGGAAGACTTCATCAGTCGAGAAGGTCGCGGGGATAGCCTCCTGTGCAGGCCTCCGGGCGGGTGGAGTTTTCTTTTAATTGCCGGTCATCCTACAACCAGCCGCCCAGAGAAGGTCTATGCCATCCGTGGTGGGTACAAACCTTCTCTGGGAGGCTGGTTGTAGGATGGCCGGCAAAAGAAATTTAAGGTGTGGGGTCGTGTGGCGTGCTCGACTCGGAACCGAGAGGTCCTGGGTTCGAGTTCTGACATGCCACCGATCTTGTGTCCTTGGGAGCACCTTACACGACTTTCCTCACTTCACTAAGGTGAAAATGAGTATGCCAGGTTGAAAAGAAAACCAAGAAAATTCTACAAAACGCAGTATCAAAACTCCCACCCACCCGCCCGGAGGCCTGCACAGGAGGCTAAATGGGGAAAGCAAAAACACTGCCTGTGATTAACTCAGTGGGCGCGAGAATCATCCGGCGTAACTCCCACACACCACTCACCGTGCCCACGCAAGTCATGTTTTCCTGCTCTCTAGTCATTTCTATATTGTACACCATCAGCACGAATTCACATCTGTACCGAAGTATCGTCTGTCACGCACAGATTTGATCGTGGGAAGTTTAATGTCAACGGATAGAGGTAGCAAGTAGAGATTTTGATCATATTACAATAAAGGTGGTAATAAACACCTATACAATCGTAAGATCTGTTAACTACTATAGTACGAAATTGTTTGCCCCGTGCCGGCAGAGGTTGGGTTGGGTGAAAAAAAAATCCAGTGCAAAAAAGAAACTCCGATAAAGAAGCCTAAAAAAAAAGAAAACAAAAATAACGGACAGACCAGAGGAAAAATGCAGGTTTATAAGCACGAATGGATGTTACCTGAAACGTCTGACCGTTTCCAAAATCATATCCAGTTGCTTGAGTAATTGTTTTTTGGCGTATCGTATTACCTGGATTTCTAACCTTCACCGACACACGCCAAAAATAACCAAAAACCCAAACCTCTGCTTGGAAGGTATACGTAACGTTTCTCACCTACCATAGAGACTGCAGGATGCAGGTAATCATAGATTTAATTGGATTTTGTCACCCCTTTGAGCTTTCCGCCATTTCTATTTTCCCGAGTCACGATGTACATCAGAGCGCCCGTCGATGACGCAATGAGGAAGTCACGACAAAGACATGAAGCAAAACCGAGTTTCGTCTGTAATATACAGATTATTTCCGAGAGCGGTGTGTGTAACTGCAAGGACGTGACTGCAAAACTACGGGTATACAAACAGACAGAATGAACGATTCGGGTAGCCAACAAAAAATGTTAATATTTTGAAAGCAATTTTGCCTCTTTCTCTTTCATTTATACAGCATTTAAAAATGTCTTATCATTTTCAGTAGCAACACTTTCGATATCCATTGATCTGTGATATCCTTGATTAGTTGCATTTCATGGCTTCATACCTTTATTTCAGTTGCAGTTATTGAAATCATATTGTACAGGTCTTTGACTGCGAGCAATTCACTCCGCTAAGAGAAAATTCTCGTCATCTTTATCTCTATTTGGAATAAATCCTAGATAAGTTGGCCAGCTTATTTACTGCATTGAACATCGCACTTCTCCATCGTGCACCCCCATCAAACTCCTTTCAAGCGAAGTGTTCTCAAGATTGGGCGCGCTTTGTACGACGCCACTCGGCAGATAGGTGGCCAGGAATATTTACCAGAGCATAGGCTATATGAGGTTGTGTATCGTTGCCGTACAGGGTATTTAGATACGATTTCCGAGTGACTACGCACCGGGGCTGAGCGATATCCGCCATTGGGTACGGCGAAAAAGTACAGGGTACGGCACAAATTACCGGGTACGGCTTGAAATTTTCGCGGGTACGGCACGAATTTCCGGGTACGGCCAGAATTTTTGAGCGGGTACGGCACGAATTTCCGGGTACGGCTTGAAAGGAGCTTGATGGAGGTGTCGTGGCTGTAGTTCCATCTAAACGAACGGCTGACCCGAAGGTCTTGACCCCCGCCGTACTCCAGGGTAAGAGTTAACCATAAAGCATAGATTTATCCACTGAAGATAAACTTGATTAACGGTAGTTACTGAACACTGCCCTGAGTGACGATCTTCACGGGATAAAAGGATGATTGCTGGCAATCCCATTGACTTCTTCGCTCACGGGCGAATGCTGTACGTTTCAGGAATGTGTATCAAATGTGGAAGAACATTCTGGGTGAAAATGAAGCAATATAGTCACGTAATACCGGTGCAATAGCTCAACAGGGAAGAGTGCTCGCTTTGTAACCGTGAGTTCAAACCCCGGCCGGGTCATTCCAAAGACTTTAAAAAATGGTAAATACTGCTTTCTCTGCAAAGAACTCAGCATCTATGAGAAAGAGTGTGGGAAGGTCAAACACACAACACTGCCAGCAGGCTAGCCCCCTGGTGTAGTGATTACACAACTGTGTGGCCCAAGGACTACAGAAATGGAGATGGGCACCTCCCCTATGCTCTGCACAGAATAGAACCGGTTTTTTTAACACTCATATCGTGGCTTACTTGAGAATAAAAAGGGAATATCAGTTTTCCTATGACTAATCATTCGTTATTGCTTTCTAACAGATGTTCTCTATCCATTGCAGTCACATACAACGGTGGAGGTAATCCTTCTATATCTTGAAAAATGTTGAGCAGAAAACGACACATTCATCACAAGCGCACCAACTCAACCACATATCCTTGCTCGGATCTTAAAAGATCATCGTCACGTCTTCGTACAGTGATGTATTGTCCACCCTTTTCTTGGAGATAAGGCTTTTAAGACGCTCTGCTTGTCAGTGATGTAGTGTTTCAGAGCCTGTTTGGACATGGAGGACAATCTGACGTGGCAGTCATGGATGAGGAGGAGACTTTGTGACGACGGAGACAGGGCAGCCTTGGGTTTTTTTTTGTTGTTGAGCAACATAGAAACTTACTGGACAGAGTGGTGGGCAACTCTAGCAGGTTGCTAATCTTAGCCCCACCACTGACAAAGAAAGGTACATGCAATGGTAAATAATAATAAGAAAACAACAACAAGTAACAAAACAGCAAGTAACAAATCATCAAATGACCGGGCAATATCAACGAAAACGTGTAAAAAAAGGATCATAATGTTTTGAAAAAGAATGGTTTTCCGTAGGCATTTGAACACATTTAGTCAAGTGTAAACCGTTTTAGTGAACAGTATAAGATTAAGTTAAGGTTAAGCCTTGGCATTACGTAGAAAACATCTATTAATTAATTTAAAGCAGATATTGGAGCTCGAGGTTGGCTAAGGCCACGGAGACACCAACGCACACCATTGAAATATACTGTATCTCACATGCTAGACTTTAGTTCAGGAAGTCAACATACTCATACAGCATACTGATACCAATGGTATTGTCCCATAAAAATCTTTCTGAAAAGAAACTCCATCATAAAGTTTGCAATCCAATCATCATGATGAGCGCCAAATAATAATCGACCTTTTCTAGAAAGTTCAAAATTATTACAGATTCACCAGTCACCAGTTACAGGAAATCCCCGATCAAAATTGGAGCCTAACAATCAGACTTTACTCCTGTTGAACAAGCGAGATTACCGGGAAATCAAACGGAGAAAGATCAATAAAGTGCAATCAGTCCTATTCAAGGACACAGAAAGGATAATGGGGCTTTGTGAAAGGACCAATTTACGGGCGTCACGATGGGACATATGCCCTGTACATATGTCCTCTATGGTTCGTTTAGGTTGAAAGCTTTAGATTTGTTGCCAGGATTTTGTGTATCCTAAGGGATAGACCATCAATGTTTGAAATATGTCTTCAAATCGGTTTCTTTCTTTGCATTATATTGATATTTGAAAAAAATATGGCATTGGATATCAGCCTTTCCTTCAATTTTTATGCGTTGCACTGGGACATATGCCCTGTACGTATGTCCTGTATGGTTCGTTTAGGTTGAAAGCTTTAGATTTGTTGCCCGGATTTTGAATATCCTGAGGGATAGACCATCAGTGTTTGAAATATGCCTTCAAACATTACCGGCGTCGCGTTGGGACATATGTCCCTCGTCTATGGATCTTTGAGGTCGAAAGCTTACTATATAATGATAATAGATTTATTGCCAGGATTATAAATATCGAGAGGGATAGACCACAAATAAATCGGTCTCTTTGGAGAGAGAGAGAGAGACAGACAGAGAGACAGAGAGACAGACAGAGACAGACAGACAGAGAGACAGAGGGAGAGAGAGAGAGACAGAGAGAGACAGAGCGAGTGAAAGAGACACAGAGAGAGAAAGGTTTATTCAATATAAAAAAGTTGCAGCACCAGTGCTGAATTGTGGTTTCTGTACACAAATACGTCCTTCTCATATAGTCAGGACTTAAGCATTACAGATTACAAATAAGAATTGATAGCAAGTCACAAATCCTGAAAAATCACTTTCTTTGCATGATAATGACATTTGGAAAAATTCATGGGATCAGTCTTTATTTCCCTAGTTTAAAACTCGACAAAGACTTCCTTTTAGGTGTAGCATTGGGACATATGCCCTGTCCTCTATGATTCGTTTAGATTGAAAGCTTACCCGATAAGTTGCCCGGATTTTGAATATCCAGAGGGATAGACCATCAATGATTGAAATATATCTTCGAATCGGTCTCTTTCTTTGCATAATATTGATATGTGAAGTGAAAGGGAAAGCAAAACAGGTGCATACACACCTTTACAAGTTGCCCTCCCCCATACAAAAACACGACAACAAACTTTAAGAATACCCGAAACATATTTGAAAATTGGCCATAGGATCAGTCATTCTTTCAACTCTTAGGAATTTCTTTTCTAGTTTGATCTTTGAAGAGGACTTCCTGTAAGCTTCTTCCCCGCTCATAGCGGAAGATTCCTCCCTTTCGTGACTAAGACAGATTTTTCTCCCAAAGGCACATCCATGATTAATGGACTTGTCTCGCAGACGACAGAACTTTTCGTCAAGATCGATAGCCTTGTTGTTGAGAACCTCTGATGACCACTGATCCTTTACACATAGATCTGCGCACATCCGTTGGAAGGCATTACTCTCCATGCAGAGGTTTGGGTTTGGGGTTATTTTGGGCGTGTTTTGGGGCTTTTTTATCGGGGTTTCCTTTTTTTGCACTTTTCACCCAACCCAAAAATCCCAGTGCAAAAAAGAAACCCCCATAAAAAAGCCTAAAACACGCCCAAATAACCCCAAAACCCAAACCTCTGCTTAGAGAGTAGGAAGACATTGAGCCTCCCCATTGATTACGTGAAAATATAACAGTCTGTCTTCGTTTTGGACTCATTTGCACCCCTCCATTGCGTCGCATCACGACGCCAAACTGGCTATGAAAGTGTTCATTAGGCCACAGCATGTAATTGTATGGATGGCATCTTCCGCAGACTCCAAATCTCATGCCGATAGGGCAAAAAAAAATAAAGCGGGCAAAAAAATAAGATTCCTACATTTTAAAATTTTGACATCACAAATTTTTTTTTTTCAAAATCAGGCGAAATTTAATGCGCGCGCTAATGTCATCCATAAAAATTACTTGCTGTGGCCAAAACTTTGGGATGAATTATTTATAACGTGAACTTGAAGGATCCTTCAAGCGTAACTATTCAGCCATCCGTACGTCAATGCGGTCTTGAAGATATGAATTGAAATAGCTTAGATAATGTCTTGGTAATTTTGTGTTTCTTTTTGTATGTTGTGTACATAATTCTAAGATTGCTAGAATTACTATTTAATATAGATTCAACTAATTCTTTGGTATAATCATGTGTCTTATAATTTATAATGTAATTTATATAACAAGAGCCTTTAATTATTTAAACTCAAAGTATGATGGAAACTTAAAAGATGAGAACGATAATATCATTGCTAACGATTCTGAAAAACATTGATTTTCATAAAATCTCGTTTTAAAATTTTACAATCGCATCTTTCGACAATATTGTGGTCATTGATACCTGACCTCTGACCTTTTACATCGCATGACGTAGTACTAGGGGTCACTCTGGGTCACTCCATCACATTTCACAATATTTGTGTCTTGTTGACGGGCCTCGGCGATCGTTCCTCGGCGTTTTCCTCAGTTTTTTTCTCCCTTTTGACTTAAACAGAGAGTCGTATTTTTTCGGAGACGCTTCTGTCGTCTCTTGAGCTTGCCTTGAATGAATTCGTTCGGTTTTCCAGCGAAATTTTCAGGTTTTGGCCGCCCAACGCGATAGCGGTACGGTTTCTAGCGGGACTTCGGCTAGTCGACCAGGTACAACACCGATTCGCTTCGATACCACAGCGTTACGGAGCTACAGAACTCGCCCAACGGAGTCCTAGGCGTACAGAAAAGGATGAATTCGTCGTTTATGAAGCCGCTGGTGGTACTAGCGGTCCCGGGTTTGTATCTGTTCTACAAATACAACCAGTATCGCCGACAACAACAAGAGAGGCAGCGGAGAAAGGTGACCGAAAAGGAGCTGTTAGCGCTCAACCAGAAAATCGTAAGTCTTCAGAAATTTCACGGTTAGAAAATAACAATTTCAGCAAAACATATCTTACTATAAATAGAGAAAAAATAGAGGAAAAAACAATTATTTTCTTATTGCTGTTATTAAGGTAATATTCTCCATTGACGTAATATCATTTTATTACCATGGTAACATTTAAAATTGTTCTTTTGATGTTATATTTAGTCTTAAGGATATGATAGTATTCTTGTTACATACGTTGTCAGTACATGTATCATATATTGTGTGATCATATTTGATAAATGCTGTGTTGAAGTCTTATTCCCATATTCCCATTCCACTGTAGTAAAATTTATGTTGCTTAGTGCTACTTTCTAGCAATCACACTTCATTGATATTTAGATGAAAATAATATTATCTCATTTTTGTGATACGATAATGTCTCACTTTTTGCATTTTCTATGTAGTGAAACACCCTTTGTCAAAATGTTCTTTGTTTTCATAGCTTTAGCACCGATGCCATAAATTATACTGTATGTTCCCTGGGGGCAGTGATTAGGGCCTGGCAGACAAAGGAATAGACAGCATTTATAATGATAGTATACACCTGTACAAACATGCATACATGAATATGTGTTTTTTTTACATACATATCATCTGCAAACCTTAACATGGTTTCAAAGAATTTATTTTATTTTCTCTCATATTTGTTAAACTGGCAACCCTTAGGTTCCAAAACAATTTCACTAGAAAAAGAATCCATACAATGGTTGAATGATATGTATATAGCTTCTGTAAGTACTTCTGTAAGTAAAGTATTTCAAAATATTATGTTTTGACAATTTATTTGAGCTCAGCTTTGCATCTCTGTACTACAAAAATGCTCAATTCTTAGAAATGGACTATAGAAGGAATGTTACTATTATTTGAATTCAAACTTCTTTCCAAGAAATGTACATGTCTTACTGATAGCGTATCAAAATGCCCTCAGATGGACTCAGTGAGTGACAGCTTGCTACGTATGTTCCCACCCTTTCCCCAGTGCATGGTCAAAAGTCGATAAATTCACTCCACGGTAAACACTTATAGACTTCTGTTGACAGTTTTCCAATATCATCATAGCCTCAAGCAACTTTTACCACCCAAAGCATACATACCTGTGTGACATTTTTATTCGGCACCAAGGCACTTGACGTGTAGGAGAAATTGCTTATTCCACACAATCCTTCAGTTAATGTATTTACTTTCAAACTTTTGACAACTCTATTGTAATAAACTCTCAACTTTTTTACAGGATTTACTAAATGATGATGAAACTGAATAGAAATGACTTATTGCAGTCTGATATACATTTTTAATGGCCTATAGATCTAACAGCTGTTGCAATTTTTACACTATAATGTTTCAAATATGATAGAAATATATGACGCTGAACTGAACATCCAAATTAAAGAGCAGGTGATTTGAGATGGGTCCAACCATTTTCAGTTTACATCTGTTTCCTAAATTCCATGGTTAGAAACTGAAATACAAGCTGGAATAAAAGCTAAACATGCATGGCTGGATACCTTTAATAGTAATATAATTATATTGATAAAAAGTTATTATTCACAACTTATGTTATTACTAACTAATGCCCCAGGCCATATATAACTATACAGTACTTCTTTTCTTCTTAAAAAAAAGTCCAGAAACGACATAAGGTTTTCTTTTGTCCCCAGGCAGTGTCCCACACTCCCTATTTGAGTTTGAGTTTAGATATTCGATATATTTGACTGCCCTTGCAAGGCCATAAGATGATCTAAGGCTCTACAGATTGAGATTTATTAGAAGTAGAAAAAAAGTTTTATTTAAAATGTCCAGAAGCAACAAAAATTTTCTTTTGCCCCCAGTCCCACACTCCCTATTTGAGATTGAGTTAAGATATTAGATATATTTGACTGTCCTTGCAGTGCCATAGGATGATGCTGTATAGATTTCGATTTATTAAAGTAGAAGTTTTATCAAATAAGTCCAGAAACAACATAAGATTTTATTTTGCCCCCCTGTCCCATTTGAGTTTGATTTTAGATATTAGATATATTTGACTGCCCTTGTAGGGCCACGGGATGATTAGGCTGTACAGATTGGGATTTATTAGAAGTAGAAGTTTTATTGCGTTCATGACCTTCAAAGCTCGCCCCAAGGTGACAGCGAGCTGTCCTCATCAGTGCAGTGTGGTGGCGTGCGAGCGCTGGGAACGTAGTAATCGCACAGCGCTGGCCCTGTTATCATATCCCAGAAAAGCATGTCGGTAGAACGTACTGCGCCTACACAAAACCCTGATTTTTCACGGTTTTTGTTAGATTTTTGGTCAACGTTGCATCAGAATTTTGCTTGCTGCAGAAGATATCTTTTTCGAAATAACATTTGGAAACTACAGACGGGATGTTAACGTTATATACGCGAATATGACCTTATATGAAACATTCTAGTGAAGTGTGACTGAAGGCTGGGAAGTCAACGTAGTAATTGCACAACGCTGGCCCCGTTAACAGTCATCAGCAGAATGTACTGCGCGGTTTTTCACGGTTTTAGTTGAATTTTTGGTCAACGTTGCATCAGAATTTTGCCTGTTGCAGACGACATCTTTTCCAACACAACATTCGGAAACTTAGCAGGTGAAATGTTAACCTGATATGCACAAATACGACCTTATATGAAACATTCTGCCAAAGTGTGACTATGAGAAAAAATTGAATCTTCAGCAAAATGCAAAATCCAGGAACTTACCTCATGACCTATTTTGACTCTAAATCTATTTCCCTGTTATGGTACATGATGCATTTGGGCCTTCATGCCTCCTGTCCTACTGAATTAGGTTCACCATGCTGATGCTATGCTGCCTTAGGCCTAGGAAAAAAATGTTGTGTTTCCTGTTTTCTGACCGACCCTAGAAAAAACTGCTGACCCTAGCCTTTTTGTGTGTGGAGACCTCTGCAAGGGACATAAACCTGATTGACCTTTTCTAGCTCCGTGACCCCTGTACATTGTACCCACCTACCAGGTTTCATGACAATGCATATAAAGCTTCTTGAGTTATGCTGTTCACAAACAGACAAATGCTACTGAAAACATCAACCTTCTTAGCGAAGGAAAAAATTCAAAGAGACATTTTAGCATTAATTATTCTGCACTGAAGGTATGTTACGGTTCAGTACCAAGGACAGATACAACCATGTCTATGTAGATGTAAACAGGGTTACAGACTCAAGGTGACCCGGAGAAGCCTTGCATAGCTAAGATGTAATCTGGTCCCCATGAGACACAGATAATGGCTAATGTAGCCGAAGCCTTTAATGAACAGCATACTGAACACAGATCCATCAGATCTGATCGTACTTAGTCAGTGTTTACGAGAGGGTTCTGACTTAAGCTGACAAATGTGAAGTATATTTTGCGATATGTGATATTCTGGACTGAAGACATTATTTACTGCAGTTAATATAAACTGAATCAGTGTATTTCTGTAAAGACATAGTATGCAATAGCTAACATTACCATGTGAACCACAGTATTAACCTAAGCCTTTTGCCATGGAGTTTTGAGTTAAATGGAACCCCATCGTCTATAAAAAGACTCAGATTCTTGTCTCGGCTGTGCTGTCTCTTGATAAAAGCACCTTTGGGGGCTAAAGGGATGTTGTTAATGGCCTGTTGTGGACAAACGGTCTGGTGAGGTAGTTAGTGGTTATCCTAAATGGGTCATTCACTGAAAGCTTCTTCCTGACCACTACAGATCACTTACAGTTCCCACAGCTTTGCCTTTCATGTGTGTTGGCTCTAACAGATTACCCTGTCCTTGGTGCTGAATGACATTCACATATTTAACACTGATGGTCACTGAAAACACTGAAAGCTTCTTCCTTACTCCTACAGATCACTTACAGTTCCCACAGCTTTGCCTTTCATGTGAGTTGGCTCTAAAAGATTAGCCTGTCCTTGGTGCTGAACGACATCCACATAGTTAACACTGATGGTCACTGAAAACACTGAAAGCTTCTTCCTTACTCCTACAGATCACTTACAGTTCCCACAGCTTTGCCTTTCATGTGAGTTGGCACTAAAAGATTAGCCTGTCCTTGGTGCTGAACGACATCCACATATTTAACACTGATGGTCCTTTTGCAGTCCCTGTTTCTGGTATTTGATAAACTATCATGCCTGCCTTTAGTACTACACATGTACTATACACTATAATTGTAACACAACAGATACAATAAACTGAAACAGTCACATAGAAAATGTTGTGTCTCCCCCTGGTACTGAAAGAGTCACATAGCCAGTGTTGTGTCTGTCCTTGGTACTTTTTACATCTACATAGACATGGTTGTATCTGTCCTTGGTACTGAACTACAACATACCTTAAGTGCAGAATAAGTAATTCCAGAATGTCTCTTTTCTTTGTATTTCTTTCAAACTTTTTTAAGAGCATGAATAAAACTTTCCTGCAGCTGCAGCAGTTGTTTGTAAAGGTGAGGTATCATTGAATGCATTTCCATTTTAAGTATATTGATTTCCATTACAAAGCAACAGGGAAACTGGCATAATCCCATGGCAGGTCATTGATTTTGGATGACTGACTTTGTAAGTTCCGCTTTTCTTCCTGCCACAGAAACTTGGAAATAACATTCACCACTTATTACTTGGTGAATTCATGGAACTGTTCAATTACATGGAATCACAAAGCAAAGGTAGCTAGAATGTACATTTTAGCTTACTGTTGCATAGACTGAGTATTTCTATTTGTGGCATTTATCAATCCTCATGATTGTGGGAGTAACCAATAGTTCATAAAAGTTGGAAACAAAGAAGGAATTTGTTTTACTCTTACAACTTAGCTGTTTGTGTAGCTAATAATTTCAATTTCCATATGGGTTTGCTACCGGTTCTTCTTCCTGACTCATAAGAGTTATATGTATATCAAAAGTACATATATATACACATATATACATATGCATATACATAGTTATTACATACATACATACATACATA